CTCCTGGGCTTCGCTCTGCTCAGAGCTACAACTTCCATGTGTTCTTCCCACGAGGAAAAAGGATTTCAGTTTCATCCATATTTTCTCTGTGATGCTTTTTTTTCCCTGGTTGTTTGCAATCTCTACTTAACATCTATCGTGACAGAAATAGCATCTATTCTTGTATTCTCTGTCATTTATTTATCATCTTGTTTTGAGAGTATAAATAGATCTCTGCTTCAGAATGTCTTCACTGACTGAAAGGAGAATTTCTGGCTGTTTATAATGTGTAACAGTGGGAATAGAAGAGTTTACCTGGGGCTAGCTCAGTGGTGCTTTGTCAGCCGTCATTCAGACAGCATTTCAGTGATGAACAGTTGTAACTTCACCATTTGTGGGCTGTTTGGGCAAGTCATGTGTGTGTGTGCATGCATGTGCTTTTTTCAGTTTTGTTTTCAAAGAGCTTTCAAGTTTCTTTTTATTTCCACAGAGGGGCTTTCGATTCCGATACGTATGCGAAGGGCCTTCACATGGTGGACTTCCTGGTGCTTCCAGTGAAAAGAACAAAAAGTCATACCCCCAAGTCAAGGTAAGGACATAAAACATTAATATTTCGCAGACTGAATGTAAGCATATGTAAGGACCCTACTGCAAATCAACGTACATTATTATGAAATCACTCACTTTATATGAAATTGACTGCACTTCATGTCCCACTTTAGAAGTGTAATTGGTTTAAAAGAAAGTAGTTTTCAGATTCGTAGAGTTATTTTGGCACCCTGTTTATGTATTAGCCATTGAGCAGTAATCTTTCCTGCACCTACTCCTCACTGCACTGCTCCTGCTCTTACCAATGAAGTTCTTCCCTAAGGTGTGGTTTTAGTGTAATGCATGGTCTGAGCTGGTTGGTTACTCTACTGCTTGCATAATGCATAGCTTGAGTCTGCTTAGTTATCCCAGTCCAGTCTGAAATGCTATTTACCTGCTTTCCCTCCCTTGTCTGTTCATGTTACTCCTTACTCAATGCCTCTAGGATATTAAGTCCTTAGGTTCTTAAGGATTTAATCCAGATAACTTTAAAATCAACCAAAATGTGTCATTTAAACAGGAGTAGCACTATATTCAGGAGTTCCGAACCCTTTTTTTCTTTCCAGGAAAAAGATTGAGCATGTTAATTAAAGAAACATTCAGAGCTAGCACAATGTGAAGACTATAACAGTGATGGTTAACTGTTCTAGGATTAGGGATGGACTTTTATTGCCTAAGGTTCTTGCAGAAAATCCTTTCTGTGTAGAAGAGAGGAAAACATAAACTGTGTGTTTTCTGGTTTTTTTTCTTTTTGTTCAGAGTTAATGAAAGTCCTGTTGTTACATTACATCTTTGTTGAGCTTTTACACTAGAGATTGTATCACGAGGAGCAGGATTAATATCTTTTAATTCTGGTGTTGTCTTCTTTAGAAGAAGACAAGGGAATGGAAAGGGTGGCAAGCAGTCAGTCTCTGTACCAGGCCTTGCTGTGTGCTGCTTGTCAACTTTCTCTTGTACGTGTGTGTAGTTCTTCTGCAGTTCTTGAGAAAGGCTAAAGTTTGGAACAACTGCATCTCCAGAATGAATCAGTACATGCATGACTCAATGGAAAATAATCAGCATTGGTTAAGATAGCCTAGGGTGTTTTAGTCTGGCAAATTGAGAGAAGGATGAGAAATTTAGCCTTGCAAAACTGTTAGGAAAAACTACTAGCCCAGGCAAAGGTTCTACTTGCATTTTCCTTTCCTATTGTGATGGTGATGATGAACCAGAGAATAAAATTTACTGGTATGGTTCATATGAAAATTATGTACCTCAGTGATGCCATGTCTTTGGATTACAATTCCATCTATATTGATAATTAATAAAAATATCAGGTGTTACTGATAATAATTGTCATGCTGTTGTGTTTCCTAAAGGTGTCATGGGACTTACGATAGCATGACAAGTGTACACACAATGAGAAGTTCTGTAGGGAATGGAATTTTTCCATGGAAAAACTAGAAAGCAAAACCTTCTTTGGCTTTCCATCAAACCTCCTATTTTCATTGATCATCAGATTTAAATTTCATCTAAAGCTCTCCCAGCACACGTGTCCCGTCCCCTCCCTCCCTCCCTCTTGTCCTACTGTGTGCATCTGGGTTTTTTCTACTACAAATCCCCGCATGGCAACACCTGCTGGGAGAGGCTGGCAAAGGAACACAACAAGTAAATTCCTCAGGGCCGTTACTTGTTACTGCTTGTTCTTGATTCAAGTGGTGCCAGCGAATACAGAAGCATTTCACACCTTTTCCTGTAAGTCTCTCTGGTGTTTTGTCAAAGGGTGCTCACCTTGTTGTAAATGAGATGAGCACACTTGAAGGTTACTCTATTTCATTTAATTTTTTATAGTTACACCACGACTTTCACCATAGAACTTTCATTTGCTGATCATAGTGATGTGAAAGGACAGCAGCGTGTTTTGACTTCAATGTAAAAAAAAAACAAAAACAAAAACAAAACAAAACCAAAACAAACTCATCTTTGTAACAGATCTTTAAAACATGGCTATGAGTTGATGTAACTTATCAATAGGCACCACCGAGTGTTAGACATTTTCAGTGAAAAAAAAAAAGCATGGTAGTCTAACTGCTCCCTTTTCATAGGATTATGCATTGTAGACCTGAAGAAAACACAGTGTTCTGCTATGACCTCTTGAATAATGTCAACTACTGAATCTCAATCGTTTTTTTCCCTGCACCTACTCCCTTACTTCTAGCTGAGCTGGAACGTATGAAGATGTGCCTTTCATTTAAAGGCTGGAGAGCTGAAGACTGCCATGTCTCTAAGCAAGATGTTTTGGTAGTTAATTACATATTTAACCACGCCCTGTAGAGCTTATTAGAAGATGGTGCATGTCAGAAGTTAGTGTAGCAGTTCTGCTTTGCATTTGAGACAAAACTGCACTGCCTGGTAACTTGGAATTGGTTTTAAGACTCTAGTTTTAACAGCATATATGGCCTTGTTAGCAGTAGTATTTTTACTATAATGCCAAGGATAGAATTCATTCAACTTAATGGAATTGTATTCCTTTATTTACAGCTGTCTTTGCTATCAGTAATCCTACTAGTATGTACAAAAACTGTTACGTACTTACAAGATTACGTGAGTTCTATATATCCTTACAGAGAAGCTGTAGATATTGAACAAAGTATAATGAGGAACTTCTTTGCTGTCCAGAGAGGTTGTGGAATCCCAGTCTCTCCCAGGACCTCTCTGAATGCCTACCTGTGCAATCTACTGTAGAGAACCTGCTTTAGCAGGCGGGTTGGACTTGAAAATCCTTAGAGATCCCTTCCAACCCCTACAGTTTTGTGATTCTGTGAAGCTAGATTTAATAATAAGTTATGTAAAATTATTCATTTAAATTTCATTTTTGTCTGCTTAGTGGAAACAGTGCAACAGCGGAAAATTGTAACATTTAGAACAGTTGAAATTATGGCTTTTGAGCTGTTGGCTCTTTATCAGTTTTATCAGCTTGTTCAAGCAAAGAACGATTGGGAGTTCTATATAGTTGTTCTATATCCAAATAATAGCAGACATGCTTTCCTAAAATCTTCTGAAGAGTTTTAGGAAAAAAAAAACAACACCACCACCAAAAGAACAAAACTGGGTTGTCTGATATCACCAGCTTACTGAACTGTCTTCAATTCTTATTCATAAGTTGCTTGTTCTGACATATTTGGAAAACTGCCAGAAAACTTCCATAGAATATTTCCACTTGCCTTTTTTACATGTTTGTATGTCCTGATCTTTTATACTGATATTGGTGTATTCAGGCTTGACACTGATACAGTTTTGGGTGTGAAAAGAATTTACTGAAAACTGTGGTGTGACGGAAATGTCCTGAGTTTTCATTTTCCTTGGGGCAATTCTACATGGGTGGCTGCACACAATTTCAAGTTGTCTATTCTGTGAGCTGGATGTAAATGAGTTTCAGCCTAGAGGCTGAGTAACCGCACTGCTCAGAGATGTGCCCAAGCTAATGAGCACCGTCTCTGTACCCATGAGTTTGGATGTAGTGCAGTTCAGCTTGAAGATCAAAGCCGAGTCCCATGTAGGCAGCCCTGAACTCGGGTACCCAAATAGGAGCACTGCCCATCCAGGCATGTCCTTAGGCTATCCTAAATTATACTTCAATTTGGAGATAAGCGTTCTCATTGAAATCAGGGGGATTTCAGCACCTAATTCAAGTTCAGGAGGAACATTTGCAGAAAATGAGGCGAGTTATTTGGTTGATGAACTTTCTTGTTGAAGAAAGCTTTTTCCACCCCATAGGAATTAAATTGTGGAGTGTTAGTTTGCTGATTACAGGTTAAAGATTAATTCATTCAAGAGCAGAATTAAGAAATAATCACTAATGGAGAATAAACAGATGTTTTTCTTATAAATCTGTAATACCTATTGAAAGCCTGCACTGAAGCAAGTCAGCTGTAGGTAAATTCATTGAGATCTGTGCTTTTTGCTGCCATGGTTGGTTAGGCTGAGTCTGGAGTGCTGAGTCCCTTTACTAGGGCTTCTAAAACAGTGCATCGAAGTCTGTGACCTCACATTTGGGGAGGATCAAAAGATTTAAAACTCCCATTGATTTAAGTTACTGTACATTGCTTACTCTCAGGCTTTTAAATAAGTACTTTAGTGATTAAAAAATTCCTACCAAGTTTGAAATGTATGTTAAGCTGGCAACTCATATTTGGCATTTATAAAGAATAAGTGATGCCTCATCTGTGGAACTTTTCTTGTGTGTGTGTGTGTGTATTTATGACAGCACTGCTGGTCATACTCAAAAGGTCAGGCAAGATTGGGGATGTAGCTTCTATAACAAAACGATTAGAAAGAGAAATACTTATTTTTATCATTGCTGGCTTTATATGTTTGACATGGTCTTTTCCATCATTTGCTTTCTTTAGTTAACTAGTTGGTTTCACTTCTTGCTTGTATGAGTAACTGGAAAAAACATCTTTCTACTTGAATCTTATGAAGTTTTTGTAAAGTTGTAGGATGTATTAAAAAAAATGTAGGGGATTGGATCTCAAAAAGATGTGGAATAACTGAAAAAAAAAATTCAACTTTCATTTTGAAATTGAGTAAATTTCAAGTTCACAGAGTCCTTTTAATCTCTCAGGCAAATCTCTCCCAAACAGGAACAGCCGATAACTGTGAGCCTGCAGCATTTTAACTTTATCAGATTAGATCAATTGAATGCTGCTTCAGTGCAGGATGTAATCAAGTATTACAACTATGCTTCTTCCCAGGAACTCCTTATTTTCTTTTTTCTCCCTTGTCTTCAATTTGATGTTCAGTTACTGTTGTTTTTGAGTTCGCAGATCTGCTTTGGAGCAGTAGAGCACCCAACTGCTGTCTCCATCTTGTATTGCAAATAGTTTTTTTCTGTCAATGCCATAATCTTTGTATTCCTGTACGTATATCCAGTATTGTGATATGCTGTCTACCTTCTAGCACCTTTGACTGCATTTTCTATGTGAAGTAAAAGGTGGCAGTTATTTGTATATATTAATACCAGAATACATTTTGGGTTATTCAGCAATTGTGATGTTGTCGATGATTCAAGGATACCCCAAAATGATTTCAGGCTTGTTTTAGGTTACATAAGGATGGTTAACCACTGGGGCTGTTTTTCTGGGTGCAGATGAGCTGGATGTCACAAAATCTCTTAGGAAGGTCCATCTGTAAAGCAAACATGTAGGAAGCATCCTATAGCCTTCGCAGCATAGAATGTCAGCCTAGAAAAAAGTCTTTTCTTGCCAGATGATCTATATAAGGTATTACATTTTTAGAACAATTTTTTTTTTCTTTTTTTTTTTCCCCCTAAGAAGAGACTACAAAGATGGTGCTGAGCTGAGTAACATGGGAAGATTGCAATCTGGTTACCACTGCAGCTATATGTTCTGCTTTCAGGGGCTGGAAAGTCCTTGCCGTGCACCAGTCCTACCTAAAGTTTCACTGTGGTTTCTACAGCTGATGAAGGGTTGTCTTGAACTTTACTGAAGTGACACAAGAACATGCATGTTACTCATAATGAATATAACACTGTAGATGTGCTCGGAACTTTCTAGCAGGGAAAGCCTTTCTTAGGGATGAAAAGAAAGTATTTTTGAAAACCTAGTTGTAGTAATGAAGGTGACATTTAGCACAAAATATAATGTTTTTATTTTCAGTTCATTTTATGAATGTTACACAGATTCCTGCATTTTCTCACTGCTGAGAATGATAGAAATGACAAAGCAGTGGTTATTCTGCGTGTTCGTATTGTTTCAGTCCAGGAGCAATTACAGTTTGGGAACAGACGGAAGCACGAGTTCCCCCATGTTTCATATTTTAGAAAGCACCACTTGTAAAATACTCATGACTACAGTTTTATATGGTTATCTCACAAGCAATGAGTAGTGAGAAGACTTTTTCACACCTGTTTCTCCTGGAACAGCTTTTTCATACTTTGGGGTTTTTTATTGTTAGCAGCAAATTGGAAGGCGTTGAAGACGCACGTTATGCAGAGTGTTTCAGCTGTGATGGAATGGATTCAAGAGAGGGGTTAAATGGAGTGAAGGAGGCTAGCAGGACTTATAATGTGGTGAAGTCGTGGCAATCCCCGGTTATCAGCGTTTTATCAACAATATAACCTTAAGTGTTCAGTTCATCACTGATTCATCACTTTAATGTTCATCGTGATCCTTTAATACCTTGGTTGATTAGATCTATAAGCTGCTGTAATACAAAGAACTTTTCCTCAGGCAAATCAGAAGAAACCTTAGAGGAGGAGGGAAAAAACCAACATTGATAAAAGGGTTAATTAAGTGAATTGGAAGGGAAGGTAATGTTTGCTTTTTTTTAAATCAAGATAATTTTATATTTGTTATAATTTGAAAATGATGCGTAACAGATAACTGAGTTGAAGTATATTATCCATGAGGAGAACAAATAATGTTTTAAATAATATGTAAAACAAATAACTGGTATTAATAAATGGTACTTTGGTAATTTCAGAGATATATGCATATATTTTTAACATTACTTGACATCACAATTTTAAAAGCCGTTGAGAATGTATGGTGACCAGGAGTTCTGATGGAGGGGGGCAGGAAGCTTTCTAGTGCTCCAGAGTGCTATGAAGGCATCCAGATAATCCTAAATGCAGTCCTATAAAATCTTAGATGGTGTTTTTGTGTATATCCTCACCTACACTTACAGAAGTATTTACTGGGCTGGTTTATGTGTTGATGTCACTTGTGATCTAACAAAATACCTTTGAATACAGAATTCTTCCACTTCAAAATCTCTACCTGAGTGATCATTGTAATGAGAGCAAAGTGCTTTAAAGTGATCATAATATTTACAATTATTTGAAAACATTTTTGAGTTTGGCAAAAAAAAGCAGATATTTTGTTGAATAGATGCATTTTTAATGCGATTCTTAACATGTAACAATGTCTAATGTGAATTTAATGTACTAAGTTAAGTTTATGTAGAGCAATGTGGTATAACTAGCCAGAATATAAAGCTAATAATAGTGATATGGGAAACAGGAGATTGCTTTTCCTTATGTTTGTTTTACTTCTTTACTTTTTCTGTCACTACTTCTGCCATTTGTGTATCAATTTTAATTACAAATGAGTCATTGGCTTTTTTTTTTTTTTTTTGTGATGACCTGATACAGTTAGTTTTTCTTGTGAGTGAATACACATTTCTCCTAAGCAAGCTTGATTGTACTTAGCTGACAGAATATTTCACTGGAATTACTGTTTGTTCCATTTTTAAAAACATCGGTTTTACATTTATTTACAGATTTGCAACTATGTTGGACCTGCAAAAGTAATCGTCCAGTTAGTTACTAATGGGAAATACGTCCACTTACACGCTCACAGCTTGGTGGGTAAATTTTGTGAAGATGGAGTGTGCACAGTCAATGCAGGACCGAAAGACATGGTTGTTGGGTAAGTCTGTCAAATGTATTTGTTACGTTTAGCCAAGAGGGAGAGAATCGATTTTGGTCACAGTTCTGATCAGTGTTTCACCTTTGCTAAAACCTGCTGTAGAAATACAGTGAAGAGAAAAGCTTTAAGAAAGTGAGGTTAGTAAATTTGAAATTAAGGCAAGACAGGTATAAACATGAAAATACTAAATGAGTCAAACTTCTTAAGTTTAAAGCAATAAGATTATAGTGAAGTTGTAGTTGGTCTGTTCTTGTTTAATTTAAAGGAGTAATTGTTTATATCAGTAAATGCAACTCAGGCTCCTGTCTACGTTTTCAGTCTTAGATCAGGTTTCATGCTGGCTGTGAGTTTTACTTCTGTGATCTCAAGAATGTCTTTGTTGGTAAAGAAGTAGTTTAAAAAGCTGAGAAGGTTGGGAAAGAGAGATTCTTTTAAACTGTAACTTTTGATGTCCAAGCCCAGTGTGCTGACTTTACCAAGCACAGCAATTTAAATAACTTTATTTGAAATGCTCCTTTTCATCTTGAAAAGTTTGGCTCATTTCCTAACCTGTCTTGTTTTTCATCAAATGTTTAGAAATAGCTTTCCTATCCTCAATTGACCCAAAATTGAGTTATTGTCTTGATTTCATACTTCCAGATCTAATTGATTTTTGAATGTGCCAGGGGACTTTTACTAAAGCACATCTTGTATTACAGATATTGTCATTCTAACAGATACCCGAAGTGTCTTGCTGAATGTCCAGAACCTGGCTTCAACCATTTTCTTTGAAAAATGTACTCTGCTTTTAGCTTTTTAGCTTGCTCTCCAGATCAATTTGATCTGACCAAACCTTTTCTGATAGATTGCTTTCGCAGTAGGTGTAGAATTACATATTAATGACAGCTCAAACAAAGTGTGACAGTTAAATTTTGAAATGTTTTATAAATTGCTTCCGCACCGTAAGCCTGAAAACTTAAAGGTTACTTCCTGTGCCATGGGAAAATCCTGTGCACCCATCTGATCGCTGCCATATGATGGTGTGCATTTGACATGCTTTTTAAGCTTGGCTGAAATTGTCACGCTGGAGTTCATTGGAAATGCTTCCTCCGGATAAGAGAACGACTGCCTGCTGCAGGTTTGCCTAAAGCATCACAAAATCAATTAATCAACATTCGGCAGGTTTGCAAACCTTGGAATACTTCACGTCACGAAGAAGAAAGTGTTTGAAACTCTGGAAACGCGCATGATCGATGCTTGCAAAAAAGGATACAACCCAGGACTCTTGGTGCATCCTGAACTTGGCTATCTGCAGGCAGAAGGGTGTGGAGACAGACAGCTAACTGGTATGTGGAAACAATGATCTGATTTTAATAGGTTTTTAGAAAGAAAAAAAGAAAGAAAAAAGAAAATGGCTGAGCTTCTGAAAATGCAAATTTTTACCCAGAAAAAGACCCTGAGTAGGAGAACAGCTTATGGCTATGCAGTAAGAGGTTGTATATTACTGCTGTGTTTTAGGGAATCAGAAAGTCTTTTGCTGTGAATGAGAATGGAACAGCTTCTTCCGTAGCTACCTGTACTCACCTCTGCACTTGTGTTTCACTGTTCTTATCCTATTTAGTTGAGTGATAAATAGTCATTTTGTGTTACTGCTGTGAGACATGGTATCTTTAACTGTGGGGACCTTGTTTGAGAATACCTTTCTTCATTCATCTGCACTCCACCCACATCCCTGTTAAAGTTCGGGTCTGTATTGCTTTCAGGAGCTGTATCGAGGGGCTGGCCTTTTCTTTATCACTGGTGCTAGACATTCAAATTTCATTAGAGGCAGAGTCCATCCTTTTCACAACCTTTATGAACAGAGAGCAGAAAAGAGTCTTTGTGTCTCTTAATTATATACCTTATCTTAAATAACATGTGGCTCACAAACTTCAAATTGAATGCAGTATATTGTAAATAGCTTCTCCTCTATGAACAAAAAGATGGAAACTGATGGGTACTAAGTGAAAAATAAGTTGCTCTTGGTGCCTATCAATAGTAATGTTTGAAAAATGCTCAGTCTCCCCACCTTGTGCTAATTTGACTGTGCTAATTTATTGGTTCCAGAACGAGAAAGAGAAATTATTCGCCAGGCAGCAGTTCAGCAGACAAAAGAAATGGATCTCAGTGTGGTGCGTCTTATGTTTACAGCCTTTCTTCCTGACAGTAATGGTGGTTTCACACGGAGGCTTGATCCTGTTATATCGGATGCAATATATGACAGCAGTGAGTATATTTGGCATTAATTACTGTCTCAGTGTGAGGCACATCTCTGTACATACAAGAATGCTGGTATTGCTGTACTTAGGTAGCCCAGAGATAATTGGCCCTCTGTCTGTCCACGTACATGTGCTGTCATTCTGTTCTTAATAGATGCTGATGTAAGCCCTAAAGCGAGATCTTATTTGGCTGTTAGCATGTTTAATCCTGCCACCTGTGTTAAGAGAATACTGTAAATTCTTTTTATAATGTGTTTGAATTTTGCAGACTTGTCTTCAGTTGCTTTCTATGGCAAATCCTTGTCACACAAGATGTGAGGAAAAATGTGTTTCAGTCTTTATTGAGACTTACACACTTTTCATTTTGCTGGGCATCTGCTTGTCCTTGTTCTGTGACACTAGCATAACCAGAAGTTTTCATCCATTTACTCTGGACCTGTCAGTATTTTTATACTTGTATCATGTCTCTCTATTTATAGCTTTTCTCAGTGAATGTTTTCACTTTGTGCTTGTGCTTTTGGATAATACTTAGTGGTTTTACCTGAACCCTTTCTGCTGCTTGAGATTTCCTCGTAGCTGTGGGTCGCCATGTTCCTGGTAATTATTCTGTAATGAGTCAGAAAAAGTACCTTTTTTTCTTGGTGCAACAGTCATATGTACGTCATCACTTTCTAAGGACTAAGTTTAAATGAGAAGGTGTTAAATGCAGCTGTTCTAAAGCTGCTGTAGTCTGTTGCTTGCTGTCAGTTGGAGAATGTAGTGCCCATATGTCTGTTATTCTTGTAGCATACATGTCCCTTGTTTTCTGAATGAGAAAATGGTCTTTTCATCTGCAAGCTGAAGTGATTTAACTAATAGTGTATTTAAGGAATATTGATCTTTGGTAATAACCATGGCAGATTCCATTTGTTATCTTAGTCTAAAGTGCGTGATGATAAAGAGTATTGCTAAAGCAAAGAGGAAGAGAAGGGCAAAGAAACAACAGAGGCAGAATAGCAAAAGATGGAGGGTGACGTTATATGATCTGATGGTGACAGGACAGGGTGGAATGGTTTTGAACTAAAAGAGAGATCTATATTGGTTGCTAGGAGAAAATTGTTTACTCAGAGTGTGGGGAGGCACTGTTACAAGTTGGCCAGAGAACTTGTGGATGCCTTGTCTCTGGAGGTTTTCAAGGCCAGGTTGGTTGGGGCACTGGGTAGCCTGATGTAGTGGGTGAATTCATGTTTGATTCCAAAATATTTTTCTAGGGGCTGTTGTTTTTTCGTTATGTCCTTTGTTGAACCATTCATGTCCCTTCCACAGAGCAGACACGACTTGTAGCACAATCGTCTATGACAGTTGCTTTTAATTATCAGGTGATAGTTGTATCAAGGACCAGTAGGTAATCCATTGATGCCTCTGCTAAATCTTTAGAGGTGAGCTTTTTGATCAGTGTGATGTGTTGGTCCAGAACTGAAGTTGCTTTCCAGTAAGCCAGAGAGCAGAGCAAGCTTTGCATGTTACATTAAACTAATGACATAAAGGTAACTGCTTTCAACACTGCCCTGTCACCAAGAAAATAGGAAGGAAAATATGTTCACTTATAATGCACTCCTCTTATGAAGTTACTGTTAATGCAGGATGCAGTTCACCACTCTATTATTTTAATGAGGTAATTTGCTGGAATGGCCAGAGCCTTATTTTATAGTTCGCAGTTTAGTCAAAGCCTAGAGGTTACCTAAAGGATTTTCAGATGAAAAATCATTGATTCATTCTTTTAAAAAACTTAGACAAATTTATGTAGTCTGTACTGGGGGCTTGTCTTTTATTGCATTTCTGTATTTTTATTTTTTTGTAATCTAAAATTGTTATGAAAATAATTGTTTTTTAAAATCTTTTCCTTTTGATAGAAGCACCCAATGCTTCCAACTTAAAAATTGTAAGAATGGACAGAACAGCAGGGTGTGTAACAGGAGGGGAAGAGATTTACCTTCTCTGTGACAAGGTTCAGAAAGGTAAGTGTCCTGAGTAATGTAAGATACCCCAGGATGTTCATCTGGCCGCTGTCTTGCTAGTCTCCTGTTCTGATAGCGCAGCAGGATTTATAAGTGCTCTACTTTTCTGGAAATCAGGCCAGCAGGAAATAGTCTTGCAAACTAAATTGAACTCGTGTTGCCTCCTCAGAGACCAACTTTGTTCTTCTCAGATTTCTGCCCTTGCCTGTGTTCTGTTTTTCATGGGTAATGGGTTCTGGGTGATCTTTGATTCCATTAACACCTGCTCTGAATTATTCTAAAGTTTCTGATGATTATTAAGTTTCTGACTGTAAAGGGTAAGTATGAATCTTCTGTATTAACCACCAATGGGAACTGAGTGTGTTCAGTGCTGTTGCTAGTAGCTTAATTCTTATGTATATATAGTAGAGATCACTTGGTTTCAACTGAATTTTCGCAGGCTCTGCTCATGCTATGGGTGTATTAGGATAGGACTGTTGAGTATGGATTTGGTTGCTTTGTTATTTGATGGGAAAATAATGGTTTGCAGTATTTGGGTTAAACTAAAAAGAAAAAAAAATAGGAGTGGGGTAAATCCTTTGCATTTTTCATCTATGCCAGGGACTCTCTGGTGCAGACTGGATGACAGGAGTGCCTAGTTCTCGCTTGTCTGGAATGAGTCTCTGCCCTTGTTGTTAAAAGGCTGTCCTTTTCTACCTCTTTTCTTTGCCACGTTCTTCTACCACTTACACAGGAAAGAGGGAGTGCTTTGGGAGCTTTGAAAAAACATTTTCCTTCAGTAGTGTATATACCCTCTGCTTTCAGGAGGACCTACATGAAACTTACCTCATGCACACAAAATAAATAAATAAAAGCCTGACTCAGTGGAAGCCCCGAGGTGGGGTTTCCCCTCAGCCTGAGTGGGGTTTCCCCTGACCTCATGGCTCTCAGAAACCTTCTCTCTGGAGGAACTTGAGCACACAGGACAGCAGGAGTGGAAGTGGTGGTTCACCATCTTGAGACTAGCAGCTGCTGGATCAGAGCAAGCAGTCCTCAGTCACCCTAAAAGAAAGCAGACTTTTCTGTAATTTCTTCTCGTCAGAAGTGCTGGGGAAGGAATACTCTGCTGTCATATTTCCCAGCCTCTCCTAGAATATATATAAATAAATAAACCAAAAGAAGGCAAGAAAGGTTGTTCAGAGGAGCAGAAGCCGTGTTTGTGGTGTGGCTGTGCTGTGTCTGGAGGGTGAGGGATCGCTGCTGACGTGCTGCTCACTCAAACTGCTGCCATCTCTGAGCTCTGAAGTGGCTCTTTGCCAACAGCGAGCGGAACTTGAACTGTGGCACTTCAGGTTTTGCAACAGTTTTTTGAACTGAAACTTCTGGAGGAGAGAGGGTGGTTTCTACATTCGCATTTCAAGTTCTCCCCTCCCTGCTCACTTGTTTCAAATAAAGCTCCTCTGGAATGTTTTCTTGCTCCAGAATAGGAAGAGGTAGTGAACCTCACTCCTTACTGTGCAGTAAACAGACAACAGCTTCAGTGAAGTTATTAGAATCAGGCTGATCTAAAATTGATGTAGAAAATGGCTTATCTGTGGTGTTTTCTTAACTTGGATAATGATGATTCATGTATTATTTACATACAATTATTACTCAGCTAAAAAGTAACTATGTTAATTTTTAGCTGGAATAAACTTAACCAAAGGTTAAATAGATGCACGAACATCCCAAAGTTATTATTTCTTTGACTCTTTGCAGATGATATTCAAATACGTTTCTACGAAGAGGATGAGAATGGTGGTATGTGGGAGGGCTTTGGAGACTTTTCTCCTACAGATGTACATAGACAAGTAAGTAATGGAGCATTTGCCATTTATTAATGGTTTTCTGATCTCAGGAAAATAGGGTTATATTACAACTAGAAAATCAGGTGGAAACCTCCGTATCCCATACTAACCTCTCCAGTTTCTGTTACTTGTTAATTGCCTAATAATTTTGCAATCCTAGCCATTATTTTAAGATCTATGGTAAGAATACAGCATCAGGAAATAAGGAGAGAGAGATTCCTTGCTTTAAAGATACACCACTATAAGTTTGGATAGGATATATAGAGAGCTCTGTAAGCTTCCTATGCAGGCACTGAGAAAGCCTCAGAGCAGATGCTCATTGATGGAGAGAGAAGTAATGCAATAGTAATGTACGTGGCATATGTGGCAGTTTTGCCTTTCACAGAGGGCTTTAGGACTCTAACTCAAAAGTACAGCTGAAGTTAAAGTGGAAGTTTGTTGTAGCAGTCTTCTGCTCCCTGGTAATGAACCAGCTCCTACAAAAATAACACGGGTATAACCAAAAAACATGGTCTGTGACAGATGTGCTTTATCTTTGCTTCCCTCACAGTTTGCTATTGTGTTCAAAACACCCAAGTATCGAGATGTCAATATCACAAAGCCAGCATCTGTATTTGTACAACTACGTCGGAAATCTGATCTAGAAACGAGTGAACCAAAGCCTTTTCTCTACTATCCAGAAATCAAAGGTAATTTATTAAGCCCATTTTATATACCAGAAACTGCAGGGTCCCTAGGAATACTTCTAATAAGATGGGGCAGGTAGGGTAAAGGACTTTCTGTAGTTGTTATTTTTAGAAAACAGGATGTTTGCCTTTTTTTTTTGTGCAGAGCTAACATGAAAACTGTTGGCTCTGTAATAGGTTTGGTTTTTTTTTTTTTTGTGGATTGTTAAGCAGTAAATCTGTGTTTTCCTACCGAGTTTCCTATATGCACATGTACCTCTCCATGCAGTAGGTGGCACCCTCTTCCTCTGAGTTTCTGCAGAATGATATCTGAGGACATTTTATGGTCAGCACTTTCAGATAAAACTTAAACTGAAGACTGGTACCTGGTGAAAAAGGTACTTATTTTGCAGTTCTCGCCTTTCATCGTTACACCTAGCCATTTCTATGATGGTCTTGAATTTTCTTTCCCATCGCTCATACTAGTTAAATGAGGTAAGGCACTTGGTGTGAGAGCAGGCAAAGTACTGTTTCAACCTCTTATGGTAAAGTGTTAGTTAAATGGCTGAAATAGAACGGTTGGCATCAGGCCCACTTCTTGAGTTGTCAGGTTGTCAGCAGATAGTGAAGTCAGTGCTAGTGAGGTCTAACTAGCAAGTCTGTACCATTTAAAGCCTTCTGTGTTTCAGCTGAGTTTGATGTGGATGTCGGCAACAATCGTGTTTTTAAATACTAATGTTAAAGACAATGAAGAAACTTGAGGTCCAAGTTGGAACTAGTGTTTTCTTGCACCGAGACAGCAGTCTTTTGCTGAACAGTTAACCTGCCTTCAGTTTATGCTGTGAAACCCTCATCTTGCAAGTATGCAGTGCCTAACATGGACTGGGGTGAAATAAATAATCTGAAATATCAGTGCGTCAGTGCTAATGGACTAAGGACAACTGAGGAGACGGGAGGGGGGTTATTGTACAAGTGAATCTGTCTTACACTTCAAAAGAACGGAAAGCATTCTTTTTCAGGAACTTGCAGAGCTACTAGAGCATTTTGTGTCACTAATGATTAAGGAGTCTCTTACCCAAGTCTTACAGAAAAAAAAGTGTACAACTGCAGAGCAAAACTGCCAGCTGAGGAGCAAACTTCTTTGAGACTCTTAAAGGAGTAAAGTTTATTCAACATTGTGTGCATTTTTGAATGCCCTACATAACCTAATCATAAAATTACCATTTGGGGACTATTTTTCCCTGTTACAAGTGTTCATATGAGCTTAGATGTGTATGTGGATTTTTTTTTCTGACTAGATTGCTATCTAGCACTTTCTCTCTTTATCAGTGTTTATTTATGAGTACGCCTGGGACGTGCTTACATACTTCTAGATCATGTACACAAGGAAATAATGCATTTTTGCTTTTCAGTATCCTATTCCATGCATTCAGCTATCCAGTTCAATGCACTGACTGATGTGACTGTGCATGTAATTTCTTTTTGTCCTACATCTGTAGAAAACTACTTGATCATTTATTGAAGATCGTCTCATTTGTTCTTTTCTCAAGTTTTTTTTATCAGATTGCAACCTTTGTAATGTTTGTATCCTTCTGGCAGATCTTCTTGTCATGACCTTTTCACTTTCCCCAATTCCTGGGATATTTCTTCTAAAAAGTTTTCTACAGTGAGGGTAATGAGGCACTGGAACGGGTTGCCCAGAGATGTGGTGGAAGCCCTGCCCCGGAGACATTCAAGACCAGGCTGGACCAGGCTCTAAGCAATCTGACTTAGCTGTGCATGTCCCTGTTCATTGCAGTGGATGACCTTTAAAGGTCCCTTCCAATTTTAAGGATTCTGTGATTCTAAATCTTTGTGTTTTGCTGTCCTGGGCAGGATAAGAGTATTTTTTACTTAGATGATAAAATGATGAGTCTTTTTGTCAGCTGCTGCCCCACATGGTCTGACAGTATTAGGTCCTGTCTGAAAATAAGCTCTTTATTCTGTCGTCCTTTCTATTAATTTAAGCAAATTTTCAAGCAATGTTGTTTTCAACACTTCTCACCATCCTTACACTTTGACAGAAGTTTAGAGTTCTGCTGATGCTGTGTGCTGTTGGGGGTCAGTGCCTTGTGATTTTGCTGACTCTTTGAGAAGGGTCTATTTCTGAAGTAGATTTGCTTAGTAGAGAAATCTGTGCTTATATTCTCTAAAGGAGGATGTTCTTGAACAAGTATTCAGTTCAAGGCACTTGTTCTGATTTATGACTCAGATTAAACATTGAAGAATTTTGGCACCACTGATTTCCAGAGTTCTATGTACATGAGCTGCTTTTGATGGAAGCTCTGAGCCTCTTTCAGCATTTCTGCATGGGGTCCCTTCCTGTCCAAGCATGAGACATCTGACACAAGGGATCATGTGAGCCCAAGAAATGCTGTCAGCAGACTGGGACTTGGCACTAACTTTTTTCTCACAGGAATTCTCACTGCTCCATCATGTACAAAACTGTTTTTTGTTGGAGCTAGAAATGGGTTTACTCTGTACAGCGCTCCTTGTTTTCCCTTACCAACCAGTGTACTTCAGTAATAATTTCTATACGCTCATCTTTTTCTGGGTGTGGGCTCTAGTAAGAGTGACTCCTTATTCTGTCTGTTCCTTCTCACCTGACACGCAGATAAAGAAGAAGTGCAGAGGAAGCGGCAGAAGCTCATGCCAAACTTCTCCGATGGCTACGGTGGAGGCAGCGGCGCAGGAGGCGGTGGCATGTTTGGAGGAGGAGGCGGCGGTGCTGGCTCTGGTAAGACAGTGGCTCTGGGGAAAGAGGTTCTGATCTCAGTGCCTGTGGCACAGATAATTGTTCTGATGATGATACAAGGAATTCCACTCATTCCACCCTGGCCTTATACTGCTGTTACTCCTTTCAGTCAAGCTGCTCCTTGTTTTCTAAATGCTTTGTCAGCTCCTCTTCCATCCTGCTTGGTTATGCGGCTCCTGGTGATTTAGGTTTTTTTTCTTCTTTGAAGCTTTAAATCACAGAAAACACTACTTTCTAGTTGGAGTCTGGGTTAGGGGTCCATCATACCTTAGCTTTGTTACTGCCTAGGGCTTCAAAGGCACTGAAATTCAGGAGGCAGCTAACTACTGTCTTACATGCCTAAATTAAACAAATTCATAGTCATTACTGGAACCACGGGTGGAATTTAGCTAATTAACCCTGGTACCACTAAGAATCATTAAAACTTTGAGATACTCGTTACTAAATTGCATGCTGTGCTCTGTCTGTTGAACCCAGAGCATATCTGAGATGCAGGATCATCAGAGCAGAGCTTTGTTTTCTTGCAGCAGAGCATTAATGTAGATCAGCAAATGTCATCTGAGCCACGATACCTTTGTAGCACTTCTTTGAAGGAGGGGGAAAAGCAGCCATTGTCAAATTGTGACATGCATTGCTACCAACATTTCAACAATATAACAACTGAATACAAATCTTCTGAAACCACAGTGATTCAAATCATAATGCAGCATAGTGGTGACATCACATGTGAACGTGTGTCCT